GCACGGCAAACTTTTGTATTATATAGATTTTTGTGGTTCTTTTGCAGTCGCTGTTGTCGATAAAGATCCAATGTCTCTCTGTTCCGGATATGAAAAAGCATCTTTCATTGAATTCTTATTCGCTATTATCATACTTGTAGTGTATGATTCGCGATATGCATGGCAATTTCAGCCCATTTGTTTGACTTCATCAATCGAACAACATACAACAAACAGGGTAAAATATCAACAAACAAACGCGATTTGATGATTCTAAAGTGACTCGTTATTCTTCTAGCTGTTATCTTGTGAAAATGCAGCAATCGAAGTGTTTACTAGATCTGTTTGTTTAGTTTTCAGTAAACGGGAATTTCTAGACATTGAAAACAATTGAAATGAAAAATTCTTTTCAATAAGATGTGCTTAAGCAAATGAATAGAATTGCGGCAATTCATTTTTGCCGTTCAAGTAAAAGAGTTTGGAAAATCCTCTAATTTCTTGATGTTTTACTGATTGAAAACAGGCGAACAAATTGTTTCTTATTCGATAATACTTCGAGCTATACTCACGGATCAGTGTATTATTTTTGTTGAAACCGATTTTTTTTTATTGACGATGTAGCATATGTTGAAGCTATCTGTAAGAAAATAAGAGTTGCCGATAATAAATTAATGATGTGAGTTGCCGCCCTGCCATGGCCTACAAAAATAAAACCGAGAATAATTGTAATACTACGGCTAAAAACCATTACATTTACTGTACTGCATTTATGTTCATATCGACTAATTATATAGGTATACATTTAAATCAGTAGACTATTTTCTCATAGAAATTAGATTGACCATTAATTCACAAAAAAAAATAGCAACAGTCGTAGAGGTTTAACGGAATTCAGTGTGAATTATACATGAATATTATAATGGATATAGAGTTATTTCCAGATAATAAACATATATTTGACATTAAAGACAAATATATGACGTTGACATATTTCAATCATCGCATATATTAAAAACGTATCCAGCATAATTATTAAATAAATGTGGAAACTTCGGATTTCATCCGAAAGCTATGTGTACTGCAAAAAGTACATGGGACATGAGTGATTCTAGAATGTCTGAACACCAAAATTACCATGAGAAATTACGCACTTTGGTTTCTGGATGCAGTTTTTGTGCATTTTGAGACCGTTTTCAAGCGATGTTTCGTTAGAAAACTACAATTTAGTTCAAAACTAGTATCAGATTCGGAATCAGCGTTAAAAGCTGAGTCGATTTATATATGTTGTGAATAATTCTGAGAAAATTTTTTTTTGAAAAAATCCCTGTACTCCCCCCCAGGGATGGTCTAGTCAATAATGACAATTTTTTCGATAACTCAGCCATTTCTTCACAGATTGCTTTCATCTTCGAACTCGACTGAGATATTGATGAAATCATTCTGTGTACAAAATTTCATGACAATTGGATGAGGCTTTCAAAAGTTATCGTGTTAACAGCCGGACACACTGACCGAATCTAGTGTACTCATTTTTTGTGGATTACACAAAAACAGAAAAACAATCAAATAAATGCTAAACCGCAAATTCTCGAACAGTATTATTATTATTATTATCGTGCTATTTTTAGGGAAACAAATGTTCTAAATATTTCCTTATTGATCAGAATGAGAAAGGCGATATTATGAACATGATAGACATAAAGGTATGTACCAAAATGAGTGAAAGAAAAAAGAGCGAACGATAAAAGAGCGAAGAAAAATGAGCGAAAGAAAAAATGTCGAAAATAGAATGTCGAAGGAAAAAATGCCGAATGGAAAAAATAGCGAAAGCAATTATAGCGAAATAAAAATAGCGAAAAAATTTATTTTAATATTTTTAGACTGCTAAGAAGAAGATTTTATATTGTCTGATAAAATTTTAAGTACATCAAAAAATGAAATGAATGAAGCATAATTAGTTATAAAATTAATAAAAAGAAAATATTTCTTTCTTTCGTTTGACTATGGCGAATGGGAAGCCATCAAACAATAGATAGGCATCGATTTCAAAAACCTTTTTGTATATACGTATTGTATCCAATTCTTTCACAAATCTAATATCTTTTTAATACTGTTTCTTTTTTTACTCGATATATAAAATCGTTTAAAATTAGCAGAGGACTGCCTTTATTAGAGATGGTAAAGGATACGCTGCTTGTATTCGATGTCATCGAAATTTATACTAAATTAACAACAAGTGGTATGCAATGGAAAAAAATAAGATATGGCGTATCTTTATTTCGTTATATCTTTTGTGTCCTTTGTGTTTATTCCGTTAGCTAGATTGGACGATGATACTATTGACGAAAAACGCTAGGCAGTGAAAATAGATGACACAAGAAAACGGAGGAATAAAATATCACTGACTGAATTTTAAAATTCAAAAATAAAATTTATGGAAAAATATACTTTTCGCTATTTCCATGCGATCGACATTTTATTTTTCGCTATTATTGTGTTCGACATATTTTCTTTCGCTCATTTTTCTTCGCTCATTTTTCGTTCGCTCATTTTAATGCCATTCGACATAAAAAGCTAAGCTATTGATGAAGTCAAAGAAACAAAACAGTCTGTAGAATACAGAGAAGTCTCAATCAGATAAATTACTTTTTAACTTAATCATCTTTTATTTATAATAATTGTTCATAGCAGCATAAGCTGAATACGACATTTCAAATAACTTTCCTAGTGGAAACACTCATAACGGAAGTACGAATTGTCAGTCTGAATGTACTTTTCGCATCATCTAACCAGCACACATTCTCGTCTCACTGTAGAAAACATTCTAGTAACACACTTCGGTAATGCAATGCACAAATATCTGCTAGGATATTTCCTGAGGTATAGAAACATGGCGCAATTGCTGCTGTTGCCTATCACACAGTCGTTTCTCGGCTTTATCTGTTGCAGGACATTTTTCTTTTTCACATCCTTTTACTTAATGCTCCAGAAGTACAATGGCAACGTTGCACATACTACTTTTGATAATTAGATATTGTTCATGTAGGATGAATAATTTTATATCAGTGTCTGTTACAATTGGTAATGTAGGGCAAGGGTATAGTGACCTAAACCTGGATCTCTATACTTATAGTAGTTTCATCAGATAAACTGAATTTTTTATTATCAACTACTATTTACTTCTTGAGTAAAATTGAACATTTTCTTAAGACAAGCTACCGGAATGGATTAAAATTTATTAATAATGAAAACTAACCGTTAATTCCTTATAGAATGCCTAAACTACTGTCGTATCTGAGGATTGTTCAATATTTTTGATTCTAAAATTAGCCGTAAATCTAGTTATTTTTCTAGTTGAACAACACAGATCTAATAATGATAACAATGTGAATTAGAAGCTATGCGGATAAATAATTTGTATAAACTATTGTAGCATATAAATAGTAATACATGAATACTCACAAAACGTTTAATATTACAGTGCGAGTACCGAATTGTTATACTCAAAATCCACAAGCTCGAGTTGCGGCTAGCAGCATATTTTAGGGTAAGCACTTATCGCTAAGTACCACTGTCATACGAATTACTTCTTTCTACTCAGATTGATTACGAAAGAAATATAATATTCAGATGACAAAATATTATGGCAGTAAATGTACATAAAACGTGAATACGATAGATTTTCATTGGACGCTGCAATTCAACCGAGGAAATATAGATTTTTCCTTCGATTTTATTTCAAACCATAAAACCTAAAAATTTCACTGCCGATTCACAAGCATCTACGTCTGTTTTTACAAGGACCTCCACGACGAAAAATATTTTGTATTTTTTTAGCAGGGTCGTGAAAAACTGCTATTTTTTTCATAAAATATTCACAGTATTATGCATTATACATCGTGTCCATTGTTCGCGTAATGCGGAAAAATTAGTTTCTCGGTTACTTAGTTTTTCATTATATACATGACATGTGTCTATTAACGATAGTGAAAGCCATGGAAAAGTGAATTAACGACGCATCATGAAAAATGAGATAAATGAACTTGAGCGAAGCTTTTGAAATCTTTAGTGATCCACGGAGTAAATTTCAAAACGTATGACATTGCATGTCATAGTTATAATAATTTATTCTGGCTATAAAAATCAGCGTTCAACTGAGTCTCGAGAATGAACTCATGTGTTCTATGGAAATAACCTCATGCATACAAATACAAATATACACCAAATTCATTGTCTCATTTTCAAGTATTTGAGATAGAATAATTAACCAAACAGAAAAAAACAATTTAGAGTTTTCTCTGTTACTGATTAGCATTCGACTGTGTACTACTTATTAGATTTCGTAGGCAAGTAGAGAGCGAGAGAGTGACTCAAATATCGTGCGGAAACGAGCGTGAGAAAGTCCTAAAAGGTATTTTCATGTCTTTTATTTTTGTGTGAAGTAAAGAGCAACTTATGCATAATCACAGTAAAAGATCATTGTCTATCTCCTCTCTCTGTTTCTTTTGTCTTCAAAAAATATCTGTGAATTATTGAATATGTAGCAACAACAACGAAAACTGCCAAGTGATAAAAAAAAAGAAGAGCTCCGTATTTCATAGAATCAAATAACTGTGTGTGATGTTGAACAATAAGATTGATAAGCTGATCTTGAAATGGATTTACAGTCTCTCTCTCTCTCTCTTCTTTTATTTTGTTGTTTTCGACATCGATCATCGTGGTCTCTTTTCTATTCGATATTTTCAAGTCGCCTTCTTTGTGTTGTCAAGAAAACTTTTTCGACAAGAAATAAACAAGAAGAAAAAGGACAGCAACATTCGCTGAATGCATCGTAATAAAAAATGGCTAGCATAGAGAAGAGATGAAAAGAGAGATAGAAATAGAGAAAGAGAAAAGGGAAGTAGGAAAAAAACGTCTCAAAATCAGATCCTTTCCTATTCATATAATAAGATTGGAATAGACAAATAGATATAGAACGAATCATTAGCAGTAGATAATTTCGATAAAAGAAAAGAAAAAAAATGGCCATACTGATGAACTATACTATTTCAAAATGGGAATCGTCATCTGCTTTACCTTTAACTATAAAAGTGAGTAAGATAAAGCTTGATAAATTATTTTGAATTTTTTGCATTAAATAACAATCGAAATGAAGAGTTTTTCTCTCGAGAAGACTGTCAAAATTAATTAAATTCATAGGTCCAACTCATGAACTAAACGATCCCTTTTCTTTTTTTTGAAAAGAACATTTCAAAATATGCCTTCTTTGATGAATCTATAGAAATGACATTTTTGGTTCGTAGGGATAGTTTTTGTGTTCTAGTTTCTTTTTTAATAGAAATTACAATTGAAATTAGGAAACCTCATCAAGAGCATATATATATATTTTTTGGAATAGAACAACTGCAAAACTAGAGGACATGATAAAAATCAACCATGAACTACATTCACATATATCAGAAAATTGAGCTTCGAAGAAAAATCTTTCAACTGATAAACTGCATTCGAGACAAGACTATGTGCATTATATAGAACTAAATCAAGCATGAATATTCAGAAAGCAATTCGTGTCCTTCGCTTGTTATAGAGATACTGCACTTATGCGGTATTTTTTATAATGAGTATCAAAGTCCATTCTCTTGCGGAAAACTGATATTGGAATTAAAATTTTGCATTGAGTCAACCATATTTTCACTGTCCCTAATCTACAGCTATGGTTTGAGGGCAGACATTTCTCTAATAAAAAATTTCAATTTGAAACCCACAGTGGGACTATAGGAGCAGAATCTCAAGAAGAAAACGGATTCTTTTCAGTGTATTCATATCTCGATTTGAATATGATTTATCGATGAAATAATATCTGAAAACCATCGATTAAAACCCTTGAGCTATGTTTATATATGTTGTAGGCGAAATTACAATCCAGATAGATTCTAAATAGTAAAACTTGAAGATATTGCAACAAACAGGAGAGAAAGCTGTCTTGAATGGCCGTGAGGGCGAAGGCGAGTGTATGGGTGTATCTAGGTACGAGTCATAGAGATGTGAGTGAGGTTAAAGTCTTATAGTGTTTTATTCGACCTAGGCTCAAACCCCACCTAACATTAACCTCACTAGTCCTGTCAGCCTGACCATCATTCTTTCTATTCGTTGTAATATCTTCCCTATTTTTTGATTCATAAAAATATATTCTGAATTTTGTCCGAAATCTAATTTCCTCTAAAACATATTTTTATTTAGGTCATCTTTTTTTCCTTATTTGCTATGATTGTAATCTTGGCCATTTGTGGAAATAGTATTGTAATCTGGATTGTACTGGCACATCGTCGTATGAGAACACCAACAAATTATTTTCTTGTTAATCTTGCTTATGCTGATGTACTCAATGCTATATTTAATATTCCATTTAATGTCTATTATATGCTCAATCAAGTTGCATGGCCATTCGGAGATTTTATGTGCTCTTTCGTGCAAGCCGTATCTCATATATCAATAGCCGCTAATGTTCTTACCTATGTAGCGATTAGTTTAGATCGGTAAATAGAAATAATTCAGAAACTTAAAAAAAATGGATTCGTGCTTTTCTTTTGCGCACAGATATTTCGCAATCATACATCCATTACGTACGAAATTAACACACAAGCAAACTATTATGATCATATTTGGTATATGGATATTGTCGTTATTGGTATCATCACCGGCCATTCTATCGTTTCGAATTATTAAATCAGCTTGTAAAGTCCTTGATATGAGTATACATAAAAAGTAAAAACGAAGCATTTTTTCTCCTTTGGTTTTGCCATAAAACAACACGAAATTCGTTTAGGTATGAATGGATTTTCTTTTCGGTAACATATGTTGGTCCAATTGTTATATTAACGATAACATATATGAGAATTGCTATTGAACTCTGGGGACAAACTGGTTTGTTTTAACTATAAAATGATTTCCATTCAATCGCATAGATTTTATTTAGCTATTGGAGAAGTAACAAACCGACAACGTGATTCAATTCAATCGAAGCGAAAAGTTGTCAAAATGCTTATTGCTGTAGTTTTAATTTTTGGTCTTTGCTGGTAATTATAGAATTATATAGAGGCGAGAAAAAAAATGTTTTGATATTTAACCAAAGGTTTCCACAACAAGCTTATTTCCTGCTTGTTTCTATCTATCCAGCTATTCCAGACTGGCGAGGAACTCCATATGTATATTTAATATCGTATTTTTTTGCCATGAGTAATTCAATTTATAATCCATTTCTGTATTGTTGCATGAACAATAGGTAAAAAACAAACAAGAATCATACTATCAATTTCATTTTGGCTTTTTAAATTAATATTTAGATTCCGTAATGGTTTCCGCAGTGCATTTCGTTTTTGTCCATGTGTATCAGCATCAACTGATTTTTTTTCACAATCATATGTGTCCTGTCGTAGGTTCTCAGAACCGGCAGCACTCGGTGTGGTGTATTCGGCACAACATAAAACTAGAACAATGAATCCGGCGAATGTACATCGAACAACAATGTCGGAAATATCGATTAAACTCAATCGACATCATTGACAAAATTTACGATCAAAAGAAATAATAAAACTTAAATTCGTCTTTGTCAAATGTATTCCTTTTGTCTTTGCTGATGGTATCTTTTTTAAATATAGAATCCAGAGAAAGAGAGAAATAAATAAAATCTAAGTTCACGATCTTTTACAAAAATAGAATGAAACAGAGAAAATTAAATTCTCTTTGGAATGATGACGATGGCTAGACTGTTGATGGGTTCAAATAAGTTAGTATTTTTATGATATTATATTTTCATTTTTTCTTCTTTCTTCATCAAATCGGTTATTGTAACCAATTACCATTAAGTCGAGCAAGAAGACGAAACCAATGACTATCGGTAGCGGGAATACTATTCATTTCATCGAGCGGATCTTGTTGGTCATATGCATCATGTTTTGCTAAGAGTTTATTTGATTCGACCATAGCTTGTTGACGGTCAAGAGATTCTAAACTTTGGCGCTTTTCCTAGAAATAATTAGAAAAAAAAATATATATATATATGTGTCAGTTAAGATAATGCACATTTGAAACTCATCGGTCCCTGAAGATTTCACACTTGCTAATTCTTAGAATTTGTGGTAAATGTTAATAAAAAGAATAGATTCAATATTGTAGATAAGTAAATCTAGTGATTATTGAAGTATCCTAAAAAGTTTCGTGTGCATTTATGGTGATATTATGAATTATTTTACGCGCTGGGTTGGTTTCCAAGCAAATATCTTGAACGAGGAGGAAGTAATTCTTTCAGCTATTGCACACTTCTACTATGACTTCATCAAAGGTCAAATATGAGTTTAGTTACACTAATTGCTATGCTATTCATGTTTCATATTTAAATAGGTTATTTCCGATATTACTTGAACTATCCACAGTGACATGTGTTCACTTACGAGGAAACATTCTCAAGTGATTCGCACCATTTCGACTCGTCTTTTGCTAGTTTGTAGGGCTCATCATATATATGACATATGTGAAAGGGTTGGTGCCATTGCTGGTCGGTTCAAAGTTATGAGCGGAAAATGTGTTACATAGGTGGTGTCACCTTCTATGTGCTATATTTTTCTTCTTTTCATATCTCAACTAGGGGATGATTTTCCCCATAGATATTTATAATACGAACATTCCTCAACTTGCTCGAACGAAAAACGTTTCTAGAAGTATGTTTGAGCTACCTGGTCGAAAGAACGAAACATTAATGAATAGATAATAGCACCATCTATCAAAGCAATTGTTTCGCTCATAACTTTGAAACCGAGCAGCAATGACACCAACCCTTTCACATATGTCATATATATGATGAGCCCTACAAACTAGCAAAAGACGAGTCGAAATGGTGCGAATCACTTGGGAACGTTCCCTCGTTAGTGTGATAAATATTTTTCTTCTATTTGTAACTTACACTGCGTTCATTCTGGACGGTATTATAATTTTCGTCATAAACTCTTGGTCCAGCTAACATACGATGTGGGGCTTCACTTGTGCCATGTAATACTAAACGGAAATCTTCTAGTGCACCAACATTGTCCATATCGCCTGTCTAGAAAAAAAAAATTCGATGTTATATATTTATACAAAAACATAAATAGAACGTACTGCATCCATAATTTTAATTGTCCATAGACCTTTTGGATTTTCGCCCCAATTGTGCACACTCATAAATGACCAATTTTTAAAACCATCTGTTGATGTATCTTGATCACGTTCCGATAATAATGTTGTTTGGGTTCCTAGATAAATATTTAAATAGAAAAGTAATAATCTAACTATTGTTTTTTACCATGTGGACTGGTAATGTTTATTTTGAGTGCACCACGTCGTGTGTAACTGATTGTAACGTAAAGTTGTACATGTTCAAGAAAACGGACTACATTATTTTCGCCTTCGCAACCTTTTACTTCAAAATCGATTTCTAATGGGCGAGCAGCACTAATGCGTCTATAGAATTTTTAATTTAATAGAAATAAAAAATTTCTTTTTTCTTTCTTCTTCTATATAAATACATACTGTGGTGAAAATTTTGTTGGCTCTATTTGGCAAATACTTTGTTTAGGAACTGTAACCCAATTTCTTGCTGTTTCTGTTAAGGCTGCAGCATTAAGAAGACCAAAACCAAAGCGACTATTTACCTAAATAACAAAAAACAAACTAATCACTAAATGTGTCTCTAGAACAAACATCATTTGTAATAAAACAGAGTACACATGTGATTTTTAAAAGTCAGAGATATTTATTTTAAGAAAAACAAGACGTGATGCAATTCTTCTAACATATGGGGAATAAACCCTTCCCCAGAATAAAAGGCCATGACCTTATACAGTGTCTCAGCAGATCGTTATTTTTTCGCTGAACTTGTATTGAGGGTCAATTTTTGTCTAATTATTAATTTAAAAAATTAAAAATTAAAAATGAATTAATAATCTTAATTATTTGTTTTTAGAGTTTTTGACTGAAAAAAATAGCATTTTTTTGAAAAAACGATACTATTTACGATAGGACAGTAAAGATTTCGCAAAAAACACTGAAAATCGGTTATTTTGCCTTAAGTATTTATTAAAAATTCTGCATTTTTGTAATTAATTAATTAATTAGTGCATGGCCTTCTAATAGAGCGCTTGAACTTTTGTCGCAACATGGCCCTATACAGGGGGTGGCCGTCTATTCTNCCCCCCCCCCCCCCCCCCCCCCCCCCCCCCCCCCCCCCCCCCCCCCCCCCCCCCCCCCCCCCCCCCCCCCCCCCCCCCCCCCCCCCCCCCCCCCCCCCCCCCCCCCCCCCCCTTTAATAGTCACATTAATAATCTTACTTTAAAGCCGGCACCATTGGTTGTCCAGCCGTGACTATTGGCTAATGGTGCATATTCAGATGTCCAAGCGACTAGATGTTGCATATCACGCCATGTGAGTTGCGGACTAAAATAAAACAAGAATTGACACGTATAATTGATTCTTTAATTTTACTTTGCTTCTAAAACAAGTGCGAATATACCAGCAGCCAATGGCGCTGAAGCTAAAAATAGAAATTTGCCATGCGATACTATTGTTTAATAAAAAAAAAGCTACATACCCGATGTTCCTGTATGATCATCCGTACATGAATCGTGAAGATCTGTTGTGGTCTAATTGCAAAAGAAAAGAAAGCATCATGAAAGCGATGTGCTTTGTTACTTTTCTTTTATTAACATACCACTTTTTGATCTTTATAAGCTCCTGACGAATATGTTGTTGCCATGGTACTTGGACAACGTTCAGCATACCATGGGGATTGTTGATGTTCTGATGCCGATGAAATTGAAATCGTATAAATTGAACCCGTATAACCATCACAACTATTGATAGGTTGTAAGTTTTATTTTTATTTTTTATTATCGATGAAAGAAAATTTGAACTTACTTGCAATTGTCTTGTCGCCGACCACCGTTACCTGATGCCCAAACATAGATTACGCCTTTACCATTACGACCTTCTGTAATTCCTTTGATAAATGCAGCTGAAGCAAGTGTTCCTGGGCCTTCTACCTAAACATCATTTATAGAATCCTTTTTTTCTAAGTTTCAGGCCAATTTAAGATCTTACTGTTCGTCCATCATCGTTTGGACCCCATGAAGCTGAATAAATATCGACATATTTATGATTAAAAGCAATAGCTTCAGCTTCAACACGATCAGTAACATGACCATCTAACATTCGAATACCACCGATTTTTGCATTGTATCTAATAATAGAACGGTTACATAATATCTGTAAAATAATTGAAGTAGATTCTTACGCTATACCAACACCGCATATAGAATTATTGGCAATCATAGCGACTTCACCGGCACAACGTGTTCCGTGTCTAAATTAAGAAATAATATTTCATTTAGATATCGTCTATACTTGTTTTTCCTACTTGTTTTCGTTCGTTGGATCATATCGTGGGCTTGGATCATCATCATTGTCATTTAAATCGTAACTTGCTTTTGGATCATAATTTGCCATTATATCGGAATTATTCCATTCGAGACCATCATCAAGAATTGTTACTTTAATACCTTTACCTGTATAACCAGCAGCCCATGCTGGTAAAACATGTAAATCAAGTTTTGGTAGATGACTTGAACTTTCCGGTCTTGTGTCTTTCTAAAGAAAATAGAAAAGCATAAAGATGAAATTCAATCGAAAGATATTTTTCTTTTTCTTTTTCGATACGTACTAAATACCATTCTTTCGACCATTTAGGATCGGAAAATGCTACTGAACGATAGACACGATCTTCCTGGGCACGTTTATCTATGAAATCTCGTTTAACACGATTTCGTGATTGTTGTTGTTCAGCCCATGATACTTTTTCGTGTTTTGTAAGTAAATTCGTAAAATCGTTTGTTGCTCGTTTTGATCGTCGAGGAACAGTTGGATTTATAAACAAGTAATAATTATCGAATATCTAAGGAATAAAAAAAGAAAAACTATTATTTCGAAAACAATTAACTCAATATTAACCTTTCGTTTGTTTTCTAAGCCAAGTTCATTTGCAACAAGATCAGCAACTTCATCACCTAACCAATAAATAACAAGAAATGTGTTCCTTTATTTTTCTCGGAATTATTTATTTGATATTACCTTCGTCAATTCTCACAACCCATTCGTTGGAATGTTCGGGTACGAAATCAATGCCATCAGCTTCTTTGTAATAATCAACAGCTGCATTGGTCAAGCAGAAGAAGAAAAAAAATAGAGGGATACGGGACATCAATCGATGCATGCTTTCGAGTCGTAGGGATTCTAAAAAAAATATATATATAAGAATTATTTTGCTATTCTCTACGTCATCAGGAAGGCTTTTCTCTTTTTTCTCACTACTCCATCTCTGGCAACTCCTACGCACTCACTCAGCAATTTTTTTTTTCTTGTTCGACGCTGAGACATGAGAACTGGGTATCTTCTCTCCGCTAACATATCAGAACGGCCGAGCAAATTCTTTTTCTCTTCGTTATTTTCTTTGGAAAGTATTTTCTCTTCTGCCTTTGCTCGTTCATGCTTCCAATTCTTTTTTCTTTCTCTCTCTCTCTCTCTCTCTCTCTTCTTCTCGACTCTTCGGCGCGATGTCAATGTAATCAAGATGATTACAAAGGCAACGAGTGAGAAGAAAAACGAGGAAATAAATTCTTATGACATGATGACAAGTTTAATCGCACGACTTTTTCTGACTGGTAAAATTAAATACTCACATGGAATCACGATTGTTTTCAGGCGTGATACCAAAAAAAATTATTAGCAGTAAAAATGATGATGATTTAAATTATATTCCAAATAAAAATTAAACATATGTTTTCCATTGAAATTTTATTCTCACGGACGAAAGAAAAACAAAATAATCATTGGCAATGTTGTGCAAATAAATTGTGTCGTAGATTTTTCTGAGACTGCAGGTGAATCTATGTCAGTTACTTATAATTGTAAACAGCAGTCAAATTTCATTTAAAATAGCTTGATCTTTAGTCAATATTGATAGGATCAAAAGTAGGTTTTTTTCGGTAATAATATTCATACTTGTGAATTCCGTGTCACGATATAGAAATAATAAAATATGCCATTTGATTTTTTATACGGGAATTAAGTAGAAAGCAATAAAACTTGATTTGCGTGCTCATTAGTCTCTATATCTGTAATATAAGATTTGCGCTTTATCATATTTTGGACAATCGTCTTGATGATTTATATTATAAATAATAGAATTACATTTAACATCTTTTATTTCAAAACAAAGCAATTGTGAATGATTTAATGGAAAAAAAACATCCATTAAAGTATGTTCATAGCTATATTTTTCAAGATCATTGCAATAAATAATATCTTGAGCAATTAGATAGATAATCGTTTTTTTTAATTAAAAGCAAGAATATCCTAGTTTTTTTTTAGATACAATTTTATTACAGATCACCATAACCCAACAAGTCGAGCCCAAAAAGCGATTTTGTTGAAAGCCTTAGGCTTCGTTGTTTTTCTCGTTTTGTAAACATCGAGCTCAAAGAAATTTCCATAGCTATTTAAAGATTTTCCAACGTCTAGCAGCTTCTTTATTTTGCCAGAAATCGAATTCAATTGATACGACTGACTGATAACTATCAAATTAATTTCCATTTTAGTAACAAATATCTATAGTCTACTTGAACCCTTAACTCTTTACATATTTGTGTACAACATGCTGTTACTTATAAATTTTTAAAAAGGATATCAATGGCGCATGTAAATATAATCCCATCATCGTAATATTTACCTCGGTTTTTTAAATGCGTTTCCATGTTGGCTATTTATAGCCACTGATGAAAATACTTGAAGCTAAGTTCTCTTTTGTTTTCTGACTAATTCTATCAGCTTATGGATGCTACATGAAAGAGAAACGTCTGACGAGGATTAGACATTTTCCAATCAATAAATATTGTTGAGACGATATTCTATTGATAAATTTTTCCTATTTTTTCATTTGAAAAATAAACAAATTGAAGATTTCCGGCCTTCCATCGCATTGTTTGATTTTCTGTCTTTCTGTGTCACGATCTTCTGAATATTAATGAAATATTTCTCATTAATAATTCACCAAAAGGCAGCACGTCCAATAGCATTGCTGTTGGCAATTATATAATTTTACTCTTGTCGCTAACAATGTTCAAATATAAGAATATTTGTATTTCATTGTCTAATCAATTGCAAAGAATTTTTTACACCAACTTGCATCTAAGAGCATGGAATCCGATTGGACATGTCACCTATTCGTTCAATTGCTTTTTAAATCGAGTTGTACAACGACATTATTAAGAGAACTATTTTTAAACTGCTCTTTACTTATGAAAGATATAATGCCTTGGAAATTTATTCGACCAGGCTTATTTTCCATTTCTGCAAACTCCCGTAACGCTAAGGCGAATCCAAAAGGCAATTTGTACTGACAGTTTTATCCAAGGGGGAAATAGCTATTTTTAAGTGAGAATGAATTCGACACAAAAATAACACTACCGGAAATCATAACAGGGGGGGGAGGCACTCATATCGCGTTTATCGATTGTTTTGAAGAGTGGAACGAGCTAAACAATGTCGCAGACACTATGACACGTTTTTTATTTTTGGGAGGGATTAATCCCACCCGTCCCTTCCACAATTGGCAAGCCTGCATCAAACTCGATTGGTTCCTCTACTATTTTTCGCATATATAAACATAATTATTGTATCTTCGCTAAGATTGATTTATCTCAGTCAAAGTCAGCTGGAAAATGGTATAGTTCACGAAGAATTTTTCGTTCCGACAAAAGACAAACGTATGGCTGACTTGATAGGCTAGTAAATGCATAAGTGTAAAATAAATTTCTTTCATTTACAGCTACAATAGTTCGTCAAGGCGTTTTATTTCTATAAGCAAATATGAATAAGTAAAAATGGGATTAAAGCGGGAAAACCGATCAAATCAGTTTACGCTATGAGAAATAAAACGGTAGATAGCTAATAAAGCGAGAGTAATATATATGAGATGAAATAGTTCAATTTTGTGCAGATGTTATTTCGTATTCTTTGAGTGCTTTGATTGATTCTGTTAATTTGACGATAACTGTACACATAGCATTAATACGACTCGGGCTTTGAGATTTTGAAAGCTACAAACAAACAAGAATAATCACAGAAGTTGGTGTTTGAAAAAAGATCAAATAGATAATATTTCATACTTCATCAACAGCCCATTTCAATTTATTTTCCAAATGAATTGAATAGTTTTTATTGTCATTCGATCCATCATCACCTTCATAGGATGTCGATGCTTTTTTACTACGTTTTTTTGAACGTTTTACACGATCTTTATTCTTATTGAATGATTGAGCCGATGTTAAACGCTGTTCATTTTCTGCTATTAAATCAAAATACATTTAATTAACTAAAAATCCCTTTTCCCGTCCTCTTTACCTGTTGTTGTTGTTGTTGTTGCTGCTGCTGTTTCTTTATTATTTGATGCTAAAAACAGAAAATAAACATGGTAACATTTTGTTTTTAAATTTTTATTGTTTCACGAACCATTTTGAGCGTCAACTTCAGAACACCCAACGCAAAGTAAAGTACGATCTGGTGTACGAAGAAGAATGCACTAAGAAAATGCATAATTATTTTCATCTCTTTTAACATCAAATAATAGTTTTCATACATCACATTCTGGACACGCATCACTCAGCATACAATAACCTTTGAGTAAATAAGCGCCAAGCTTCTTTGTTATTTCATTATTACGAACACGGCGACGCTACAATTGAATCATGAGAAAAATTCATATAATATATTGAGAAACTCTTACTTCGATGATAACCGGATCTTCTTTTGGTAGTTCGTTCATAAATTCAAAATCTTCTTCACTACCATTTTGTAATGATGCATGTCCATTAGTTTGTTTATCGTTCATGTTTAGTTTGCTTCAAAGTAAACTCGACCTCGAATGACAAATATGCAAGACAGTCACTTGCTTCCAATGTATACCCCAGTCTGCAAATTCAGAACTTATAAGAATTTCGTTCGAAAGATGTCATCCATTAGCAATAGTTTAACCGCTACTTTTTTCAATGACGCATTCCTCACTGTTTTATCAGACTAGATGCACAGAATATACAGTATTTTGAAAACGTAAAGCTAAGCAAGCAAACAGAAATCGGGATAGAAGAAAAAGAAGCTATAAAAAAACGTATGATAGAGTCAGATAAAACTGGTCGTGCAATACTATTTTTAGCTGGTAAAAGTGCAGAATCGAAATATCAACTGCTTCACTGCAGTATGCATAGTACGTTCGATGTTTCTGAGTAATGACGTATGAAATGTCGTGTGCATGTGTTTCAAAATTAGCAGATTTTTCAAGCGAACTACGGATGGAGTGCACATCTTTTGAACGTAAAATGGACTGCTTGATTTTATTACATGTTTTATTAGATATAGAAAGTCAAAGCCTGTTTATTACACACTATTTCAAACGGCGAAGTTATGGCCTCCGTTGTTTGAGGTAGAGTTTTTTTTACCTTTCTGTCGAACGAAATCCAACAAAGTATTTATCTTTTTACTCTGTTTCACTTAGCAATGACATAGAACAAATAATGTACGTCGTGTGCATGGATAAGAGATGTTATAGTCGAACATTATTGGACTTAGCATGGAGCATTAGACAGAAAAATTTTAGAATTATTTTTAAAATCGAACTACGAAAATCTGACGCTGTCGAATCGTGATTTAAACCAGAGTTCGTAGTAGAAGAAAAGCTCGTACAAGAAATTGTCTTCAACATGTTTACAAATAGTAGATGAACTATTTTTATAAGTTAAAAACGACGTTTGCTTATTTAATTATTAAATTAATATAGAATTTCTGACTTTTTAAAGAACGCAATTATCTTCAGTTACATCATCATTTCATTGTTATGTGGCTTCTGTTGAATCTCCCTTATCTTTGTTGTTTATCAAATAAAATTTAACTGCTATCATCAAATGATGAAGAAAGAGTGTGTGCGCGCGCGCATTTTTTGAAAATTCTATAGAATCTACGCTTAGTTTTGATTGATGTCTCTCATACTCGAAGCTATTAGAAATAATTTTGGTCTCACAAACGCATTCTTGTAAATGTAACACCCGCATGATTCATCAGTAGGATAGTTTAATTGCTATCGTTCACGCAAAAAGATGTGCCTTAGTTCATTGCACATGTGCACAGAATCAACTAAAATAGACGTGTTTAGTACATCTGTATTCTTGCAATATTTCATTGTTATTGGCATAATAAATGTGCGAAATTCTACTAGGGTTTCAATGTTCATCAAATTTCAATTACATATTTATGTATGCATGACCTATTGTAAATAGATGCTGATCGTATTTCAATTATCAGTTGTAAGGGTTCGTGAACATAAACATTCGACAAAAAAAGCCAATAAAATGAAGGCTAATGAGAAGGAGATATCTTATAAGATTTTTATTGAGTACGTTTTAAGAAGTCAACAGTAAAATGTGAAGTTGAAAACAATATAATTCTACAAAAAATTAAATTAATGATTTTTCCGAACAAGCCAGAGGCATTGAAAATTTTTATGTTTATGCTTGAATTTTTTCAAATTATCTTTACCGGAAAGCTTTTTTTTGTATACGATATGAACTATACTTTTGCTTGAAAATTTCATGTTACTTTTCTATACCAAAAATATTTAGCAAGAGCTATTTCAGTACGATTTAACTACCGTAAAAAATAATTATAGAGCATTTTTGTCCACCCTATAGAACAATAGTACTCTAGAGAATGTTTATGAAATCAATAAAATGGCTTCTGTTAAGCCCATCGGGAAACTATGTAATGGTGATTGGACTTTATTTTTGGATTTTCTTTTTTAAATTTTCCATTCTCAGCAAAATATTTCTTTTGATTATAAACAGTTTTATGATTCGCCTATATTAATGAGAGCAACTGATTCTAGTTGCTAAGAACTATCAGTGTCATAGAAATAAACAAGCAAATTTTGACATATGGTTTGGAAGATTTGCTATTTGTTCGTTATCTGCCATCTTTACGTAAAATTTTATCTTTTTTAAACGATCCCCACTGATATCGCTTGTTGTTTGAAAATGTGACTAAAACAATTAATCATGATAAAAGATGACAACGTCGCATATGAAGAAAAAAGACACAACAATATTTATTCAGTACTAAAATAATTTCCTTTCAGAGAAATATAAAAAAAAATGAGTTTTGAAGAAAAACCAAAACGTCGTCGAATAATTATAATCAGTGGCGATGAAAGTATTATTGATGAAATAAAAAATAGTAAGAATGCTTCATTATGTAAATCAGTGATACTTGAAACTGAAGATGGCCCTACCGAAAGCCCTTGTGAAGAAGTAAGACCTAACTTTTATTTAATTTGTTTTAACATTTTTATTGAAAGATTAATCTGCTATCATCAACTCAGAAAAGAATAAAAACTTCTGCATTGACCTGCGTTATTTGTGGAGCACCAGCACTTGGATATAATTTCGATGTTATGTCATGTGAAAGTTGTAAATCATTTTTTCGTCGAAATGCTTTAAGAAATCCAGTAGGTTTTTTGTTGTTTACTAAGTGAATTATTTTATATGAATTTATCTTATAGCCACCTGAATGTCCTCGACAAGGTTTATGTCAAATCACATTTGAATCTCGTCGTCGATGTTCTAGCTGTCGTTTGTTCAAATGTTTAAGTAGTGGAATGAGTCGTGATCGACTTGTATTGGTATTTACTAAAATAATATTCAAACGAATATTATAAAATAGAAAGAATTTTAGGCTGAAAAGAAAGCAAACAAACATCGTAAAAAAAGTGAAACCTTCGATTTAGATTTGGAAACAAATATTATGGTTCATAATGAAGTAAGATCAATTCTGTATCGTTTATAAACATTTGTCTTTCTTCTTGTTCAGTTAGTATCACCACTGAATTCAGATTTCTTCATGATACCAAATTGTCTTCAACAATCTTCAGTAGAAGCAAAACGGGGGCTACTTAGTCAAGAAGATTTCCAACGTATTGAGTATATACAACTTTTATATCAAAGACGAATCGAACTGGGTAAGAGATTTTCTATTATTTTATTTATTAAAATTGAAATTTAGCTCGTGATGGCCTTCCATGGAATCCTTCAATGCATTCATTTACATTTTTACAAAAACTCAATAGCCACTCAGTACCGTTGATAAGATTATTAACATTTTTCAAACAAATACCAGAATTCGATCAATTAGATGTTGATGATAAAGTTACTTTAATTAAATTCAATCTTCTACCACTTCTATGTATTAATTGTACACTGTCGTATAAAACTGAAACCGATCAAATCGTTGAAACGGATTCTGATGCGCCATGGGATTCAGCTGTTATACAAGATGTTTATGGTTATGAAGGCTATTTACAAATGAGGAAAGTCTTTGAATCATTCGTACATATCGCACAGTATGACCAACGAATTATTCAATTAATGCTTATTACACTTGTATTAACAAAAGGCTTTGCAACAGGTGATGGTGAATTTGAACCTATTCTCAATGATGGCATGGCTGTTTATCGTGCACAAAGTTATTATACAGAACTACTATGGAGATACATTGAAACAGTACATGGGCCGGTTAAAGCTGTTAATGTATGGGGGAAAATCATAACACATTTGATAACATGGCAAACACTTTTTAAACAACTACGAGATAGTGTTGAACAAAGTTTATTATTTAGTGATAAAAGCGAATTATTACCATTAATGAAATTATTATTTCATATATCATAATATTGATTTTAGAAGAGAATTAATATATTTTCTTTAATCAGTTTCACGGGTATAATAATGACAATTAGATATTGATTTTGAGAGAGTTTCTTTTTTTTCAATGTAAATATTAACAATTTTTTCATGTTTTCTTTAAATATTATTGTGATAAAACAATTGATGACGACGATTAAAAATGTTTATATCGTATGAATCGATAGTAGAACATAATAAATTACACCTAAAATGTCATTTGCAGACAATATTATTGTCTAATAATGTCCTATTTGAAATCTGAGTAAATCTCGTAGATTTGCGACAACCACCCTAGTTCAATATACATTGAAAGGATGGTCTATAAATAAAAACAATCACGTGATGATTTACACAAATTTTATGTTCTTCTCTTTATATTGAAATTTATAATGTTGATGTAAATACCAAAAACGAGGTCTACTAGAACACTGAAGACAGTCATATCGACAACCTTAAGAAACTTTCTCGATCAGAATATAGCTTTTTCTTTATATCTCAGTCAGTTAACTGTAATAGTCAAGGAGGAAAAAGCGGCTCCTGGCTCCTTGGATTCTGGCGGATTCTGCGGATCCTAGTAGATTCTGGCGGATTCTGTGGATCCTAGTGGATTCTGGCGGATTCTGTGGATCCTACTGAATTCCAATGGATTCCTATGGTCTTAGTGGATATTTGAAGATATGTGAAGATCAGTATCTACTCCTTATCGCTGTCGCTTGCGTTTTTTTAGTCGAAAATTATGGCTTAT